GACTGACGTAAGAGGCAAGGAGAAGAAGAGCGTTTTTTTTGTTCGTTGCGCTCTCGTCCCCGTTGTTTTTGCCGTGTTTTTGCCTATCACGTGCCGCTGCAACGCCGTTGGCGGCACTGCATCATTCCACCCGCGCTGGGTGCTCGATGTGGCGAGAACAATCTTGATTTAGCAGCCGGTCGGCCGGCGTTTGGTGTTGAGAGAGACGGTGTTGACTGCTATGTCATAGCAGTAAAGCGGCAACCCCCCCCCCCCCGGGAGGCCATACATCGACGGAGGAACCCATGACGATGCGCACCAGCTGTTGTGCAAGACCAGAGAGGATCAATAAGTAGCCTTTGCAGGGTTTTTCGTTTTAAGTAAACATATTGGATAAAGCATGCAACCGGGGAAGTTGGGTTAGGGTTAGGAATACGGTCTGCGTACCCCCTCCCCTGTTCTATTCCCTAAAAAAAAACAGTTTCTCGCGCAGGCGGTCCGGATCAATGTTTCCGCGGTCGCCGGCAAGCAAAGATTTGACGACAGGCAGCAGCCTCTTAGGAGGGTTGAGATACAGAGAGTTGTAGATACAACCAACAACCCACGTTGTCCATTTTCCTATTTCTTTCTTTTGTCGACAACAGAACTGGTTCATCTCTATCTCCACAGATATGAACAAGCCCAAGGTTGTATTATCAGCGATTTCATGGTGTCCTATATGCGGTTCCTATTGTTCCCGAGCCCCTCGAAGTTGTATTTTCTCCTGTCCCGCCTTGGCGTGTAGTTGTTTGTCATAGGCGCATCGTACTGCTGCATGCAGGGTTTCTCTTGTTGACGTTTTGCTCGAGACGTGCGAGGGGTTGGTTGTCGCACTTCATCAATGGTGTAGGAGCTGTTGAGTACATTTATCTTCTAAAAAGCAGTAGCTCGTGCACCGTTGTAGTCCCATCTCACGAACGAAATGTTTGTGCTTTCGGGATTCAATCCCACCGTCACTTAGGTATGGAGTGATGCCCGAGGGTTGACGAGTCGACCTTCTTACCTGTCGACTTACTCTGCTGTTTTTCTTCCTTCTTGTCTTGCGTAATTTGCACTCGAGCAGAAACGGGGGGGCAAGCATGGCTTGCTCGGGCGTTTTTTTTTTTTTTTCGGGCGGAACTTCTGTACAGCAGTGTACCAACCAACAAACCCTGATTGACGTTCCAATAGTCTCGCGATGAGAAACGAAACCAAGGCAAGCACCCCAGGGGTAAAGGTGGGGCAATAAAACAAAAACAAAAAAAATGAAAGAAGCTAAAGAATTTACCTTCCTCTCCTGTGAACCCGGCTGGTACGTCAGGTATATAACGCCGAAAGGCCTGTAAGCCGGCGCCAGAATAGATGGGACGAACACTCACACACAACGTGAGAAAACTCCTGGCAGCAAGCTGCCAGGCGATGACGCAGTTTAACCCCTTCTCGCGGTGTTCTTCTGAAGCATTTTTTTTTTCCCGATCGCCTGTTCAACCACAAGTGGTCAAGGATTGAACGAGAGATTTTTACGAAGGCGGTGTAATACATCAGTTCTGAAGGCCCACCATGTCAAGCATGGAAAGCCCTCCCAGGCTGTGGATCTGGCTGCAAGTTATCAAGCCATGGATGGGTTCATCGTCCGGGGAGAGGGCTGTCATCGTTTTGCCTCGTTCCTCCGTATGCGCGAAAGGGCGGGATCGCTGCATGAGGACCGCTCCTCTTGATCCCGCGATGCTGATCTCTTCTTTTTTTTGAACGACCTACAAGCCTTCCGGCCCACGCCTCTGTACGTAGTACCGTTCTGCTCACCCTTGCGTCGGCGTGCCACTGCTGTCGTGTGTGCTTTGACCGCCTGGTCTGCTCGTCTTTTTTCAACAACGTGATGCCGGCAACGCCTGTACGCCTTTGCGGGGGGTTTGCAGGATGACCAAGACATGGTGTTCAAGGTGGTGAACAAGGACGCGGAAGAACCAGTCAGTGATTCACGGAACCCCGCTGATGAGGAAGATGTCCCGTTCGACGTGACGCCCCAGACCTACCGCGCGGGAGAGGCGTGGCACCCTGAGCGTCAGGTTTGTGTCCGTTTTTGGTTGTAGTGTACGGCAGCAACCCCCCCCCCCCCCCCCCTCGCGAGGAGGATTGGGTAAACGCCGGTGTAAATCATGTCCGACTCTTATCGCTGGCTCAGCGAGTATAAGATGGTGGGCTCCTGCACGTATGCGAGGGAGGTGAGATCCTCCACTCCCGCCCCCTCCAGCATGGAGGCCAGTCCGGTCACGATCCGAACCTTGACG